CCGTGTAATAGTTCATCCTTCTATATAACCTTTCCTTTTGTGTGTGTTGGGGGGTGGGGTGGGGGAATGTAATTGCTGTTGCACATAGGATGGTGTTAATGCAGCAAGGCATGGCAGGCCTCTGTGGGACTTCCCCCACGCCAGACGGTTTCTCCATATTCTTTGGCAGGAGGGCTTGGAGGGTAGTGATAGGTCACTGTGCTGTCTCCAATATATATTATTTTTCAATGAATTTTATTGATTTCCCACATTTATCACAAAAATAACATAACATAACATAACATAACACAACACACAACAAGGAAAAACACATCACACTACAATAAACTAAACACAAAAAATGGTTTCTTCAAATACCTAATTCTCATTACATTGATAACTGACTTCCACAAATCCCCTCTAACTGAATTTCATTATGTCACCTATATAACAGTTCTCCAAATTCATATTTCTAATAATATTGACTCCTTTCATTTACTAACCTCTTCTCCTTTATTAGTATGTTAATCCTTGGTATTTACTCTAACATATTCTTATTCTATCGCTAAGCTTATTTAATATTTCCAAGAATTTTCTATTTGTGCTATCTCCAATATAAACCCCACAAGTCCCTGTGCCCTCCACCATAGATAATAATAACAATTTAATTATCTGACTGGGTTGCCCCAATCACTCTGGGCAGCTCCCAACAAAATATTAAAAACACAATAAAACATAAAAAAACTTCCCTGTACAGCGCTGCCTTCAGATGTCTTCTAAAAGTCATATGGGTGAATTGAATTGGGTTGCCTTCCCTTTGGGAAACAAATTCAAGGGGGGAAACCATTGTTCCCTTGTTCTACCTATGCAGACAGAGAAATTTGAACATCAGAAGAAAGAACTGTCCAAGAGCAAGTGCCGTAAGGCCAGGCGGCGCCATACGAACTTGGTGGTGGAGTTCAACCGCAGGCAAAAGAAGAACGTGTGGCTGGAAACACACATCTGGCACGCAAAGCGGTTTCACATGGTGAAGAAGTGGGGGTACTGCTTAGGAGACAGGCCCACAACCAAGAGCTATAGGGCCTGCTACCGGGCCATGACTAGCCACTGCCTCCTTCAGGTACTGTGGCTTTTTATGCCTTCATACTTGGCAGGAGAAACACTTCAGCTTTTTAAAAAAACCAGAGCATGTCCTCTTGGGAAAGTTGATCCCATAGACCGTCTTTTTCCTTCCTGTTCTAAAGCACCTGTTGAGTGGAGAAAGAAAATGAAGTTTGCTTATCAGTATCTGGCTGTTTCTATGTACCATCCTGTCCTCGTGTCTTAAGTATACTGGCTCTTGAGTCCTTGTTAACATGTTATAATCTGCTTATCTAGAAATAGCTTTTGGTCTTCATGCATCTCGTAAGATAGTTGGAGAATGTTGCTTATTAACACATGAGATAGATTTTGAGTAGTGCTTCTATCCACATTGTCTAAATGCTTGCCATGCTTCTGCAAACTCAGTCTCCTGATATGTGAATTAGTCTAGAAGAATGACTCAGTTTTTTATAAACAAAATCCATCGTTTTCTTCTGACCTTTCAAGCATGCCAGGTTTATTTTTCCCAGCTTAAAATTCAATAGCTTTTCTTTTACATCAGGATTTATCTTATTATTGTTGCTTGGAGGTGACTGGAAAGAGGAAGAGCTGCTTACAGCACTTGCTCGAATGTGTAGCATAGATGCAGGTAACATTTCCTTATTTTAAAATACATACATTGCGAATGCTAACTCTTGGGTTGGGCATGGGCGCCTGCTGTCTAGGGCTGGGTGGTACTAAGTATGCTCATTTAGTATTTTTGCAAATAAAACCGTGTATTATGCAAGGGGAAAGAGCATAATGAAGGGCTGGGTGTATATTTAATAGTTCTTTGCACTCCATTATTTGTTCCTGCTCCTCCCACTTAATTTGCTGATGTCAAGAAAGTCAATTATCTATTTTGCTGTCGAGTATAATTTAGGTCCACTATGGCATAGACGCCTGTGATTAGTGTGGCACGTTATAAGTTTGTAAAATAAATCATACTGTGACTTTTGCAGCAGCGGTCACTTGTGATGGCCACGTTGTGTTTAGAGCAGCCTTCCAGATAAGTCTTCCAAAGCTGTTCTCCCATACTGAAGTAATCCTCCAAACCATGGCTCCCATACATGTTTGGAGGAATGGTTCAAACCATAGTTTGCTAGTTTGTGTGTTGCAGTAAACTCTGCTTAGAACAAAAGGCAAAATAAGGAATTAAATCGAGAAGGGGGTGAAGTATAAGCAAGCACATGCATACATGGCTTGTTCAAGATTCTCCAAACTGTTGTTTGGACTGTTGTCCCAGTGTAACCATAGCCTGTTTATCATTTTATGTTACGTTGGTCTGTGAGGGGAAAACAAAACAAGTCTATAGTTGATCAGATAGAAGAAATTCTTCTCATAGCTAATCAGGACTAGTCATAAAGTTTGTTTAGAAAAAAACACTAAGCCGTCACTTCCTTTCCATTCCCAATACAACTTCAGCAGGATAAAATGATCTTAAGAAGTTTCATTGTGGACCTGGTGTGTGACCAGCTCTGAATTCTTTAAAGCAAAAACTACTGTAGGAGCTGTTCTCCCCCACCATCCTCATGTTCCATCTCTTAACTCTGCCAGTTTAGACTTTGGAATGCTACTTCTATTATTATTATTTTTAAAAAGAATAATACTTTATTTAGAATTCAATAATAACAAAGGAAAAAACCGCAGTAGTTGCTACATCCATTCATTACAGTTGACCAATTTTAAAATCAGAATGCTATTTCCTAGATGTGGTCTCCCAGTTACAAAGGTTATATTACCTTTCTAAGTGGGCACTATTTCCTTGAGCATTTTTAGCCTGTCTCTTCTCAGGGCCAACATTTGCAGCTATTCCTTGTCTATCTGGGAAGCGCCAGGGTGCTCTCACCATGTACCAGGCAGACCAATACCCTGCAGGTGCACTTGGACCGGTTACTTTCCTTTGGAAACCCAGAGATGGGATTGATAGTACTTCCGAAAACAGACAACTGTGGATATGGACCCACCCTGTCTTTAAGCAGGTACAAGCTGTTTCTTTTCTTTTTAAAAAACATTTATATTTAGTGTAGTAAAAAAATTAAAAGGTAAGGGTAAAGGGACCCCTGACCATTAGGTCCAGTTGTGACCGATTCTGGGGTTGCGGAGCTCATCTTGCTTTATTGGCCGAGGGAGCCGGCGTACAGCTTCCGGGTCATGTGGCCAGCATGACTAGGCCACTTTTTGGCGAACCAGAGCAGCACATGGAAACGCCGTTTACCTTCCCGCCGGAACGGTACCTATTTATCTGCTTGCACTTTGACGTGCTTTCAAACTGCTAGGTTGGCAAGAGCAGGGACCGAGCAACAGGAGCTCACCCCATCGCGGGGATTCGAACCACCGACCTTCTGATCGGCAAGTCCTAGGCTCTGTGGTTTAACCCACAGCACCACCCGCGTCCCAACATTAAAAAAATACCTGTATTAAAAAGCTAACCTCTTGTGAAGGGGAAGTAGGCCTGAAGTGGAAGCCTTTCATATGGTTGCTTCCCACCAAAAAGAGGTTGGAAAGGTCATGTGGGTGAAGGGAGTGCCTGAACACTCCCTTTAACACAGGTAGAAGATCAGGGGAAGCTGTCTTTATACCAGGTCAGCCTGTTTGTTCAACTAGCCCAAGGGCGGAAGCTCTCTCCATGAACTTGAGCAAAGGCCTTCCACCCAGCCTACCTGAAGCTTTAGCCACAGATGCCAGGGCTTGAACCTGGGGCCTTCTGCACAAGCTGTAGAAGCTGAGCTAAGAAGCCAAACATTTGGCCTGAGCAGCTGCTTCATCTTACACAGATTTGTAGAAAGTGCTTTCTAAAAAGAGTCTTACATAATTGTTTGTAGGGTCATTGAGATCTTGTAAAATATAAAAAAGCCCTTTTATTCTTTTGACAGCAGGATATTGCTACTGAGTGGACTTAAGCTCCATCTAGAGGGGCTGGCACCTGAGAATGTGGAGCTAAAAAGTCCCATCTGCCAACCCTCTCTTTCAGCTGCTTATTTCCAAGGACGCCCGCTGTTAATCTCTCGCCTGAAAGCTGCATAAAAGATGGTGGCCTTCACATTTGATGAGCCCTTTTCCTGCTTCCCATTAGGAGATCTTGGCTGAGTTAAAAGCAGCCTTCCGGTGTTCTGAGCCCATGGAGTCTGTAACCCCTGAACCAGCTGCAATATCGCTCATGAAGAAAGCCAGTCGGTTGTTGCTGAGGAAGTTGGCGGAAAAGAAAGAAGAAAGACAATGGAGGCGAAATGGCTGTTCCAGTGAAAAAATTATTGGCGATGGGACCAGAGATCTCCACCAGTCTATCGCTGGACATCACAAACTACTGGGATTATGATAAGGGTGACTTGTTTGGGTCCTCTTAACACATTTCTCATTTATAGTCCTGCGTCAAGGTTGCCTCATTAATACCGAAGGGATGAACAAGAACTTTGGTAAACAAATTGAACTAGGCCCCCGTTTTCACTATGCATTCAAAACAGTGTCATACCACTTTAAACAGCCTCTTTAAACAGAAAGAATCATGGGAACTAGTTTGTTAAAGGTACTGTGAATTGTTATAAAACCCCTATTCACCTCAACGAGCTACAATTTAGTGTAGCTTAACAGCCAATCCCTCTTCCAAAGAACTCTAGGAATTGTAACTCTGTGAGGGAAATGGGAGTCTCCTAACAATTCTCAGCACCCTTGACAAACTACAGTTCCCAGGATTCTTTGTGGGAAAGCTATGAGATTATACAGTTTTAATTAGGTACTGAAATAAGAATGCTTGAGATTATTAAAAAAACAACAACAGATGAATGCAAAATGTGATAGAACGGATTTATGAATCAACACATGTGAAGTGGGCACAAGCTGGAACTGGATTAATTCATCACTCCTGACTTCATGTTTTGACATGTAGCTTTTGTCTCTTCCAGTGACCTAACAATGGAGATTCTCAGATATCGGTTAATTGGTCCCCTCTCAAACTGCGTTCTTACAGAGGCACTCAAAGCTGCTTGCGTCCATACTGTAAGCTAATCAGCAATTTTCATGCTTGCTTTTGTCATGTGCTCAAGATCGCATTGCTGTTATTGCATTGCTGTGTAGTCAACTGCTAGAATGTAGTATTGTGATGCTACACATGTTTGTTCTACATTAGCATATGATTCCCAACTCATCTAGAAAAGTTTGGGACATCTCATGTTAGTCATACCACTGACTTAGTGTCCTGAACCTCCATATTATAAAATAATACAGGATAATGCCTAGAGCTGTATAATGGATAGAGCTGTATAGTAAGCCCTCCTTTTGAAACTGTAGTAGATCACAAGCTTTGCTTGCAAAAGATCCCAGGTTCCATTCCTGGCATCTCCAGGAAAGGCTGGGAAAAACTTTTGGGTAGTCCCTACCACTTATAATAGACTGGTGGTAACTAACATGGGTGGACTTAATCTCCCATCAGCCCAACCAGCATGGCCAGTGGTCAGGGATGATGGGAGTTGTAGTTAACAGCATCTGGAGGGCACCATGTTGGATACTCTGGTGTAGACACTACTGAGCTAGGTGAACCAGGGGCCTGGCTGAGTGTCAGGCTGCTTCCTGTGTTCCAACTGCAAAAGAATTTCTGTGGCAATCTTGTGTGCATGGTGGTAGAAGAAGCAGAAGTTTGTGGCTCTCTTTGGTATGAGCAGGAAGACCAATTGACTTGGTTACGCCAGGATGCTGGATTATTGCTCCTGCCTATTCTCATATTATGCGCTGGTGCGAATTCCCTTGCTCAGTATTCAAAACCACTCTAAAACACTTGAGTGTTTTGGATGTATTTGAGTTGTACATTACCATACTTTGATAGAAATCATCACCAAGCCTTTGACCCCTTCTTGGAGGTCTTGGCAGTTGTACCATAACCAGCTTTCATGTAGAAGTTGGTTCTCTAGGAGACAGTTACACATATGTCCATTGGCAGCCCTTGAGGTAAAAGGGGAGGAACTGAGCTTTGTAGCAGTGAATTACATATTTCCCCCTCTTACCTTACGTGTTGTGATTGGTTATCTAGGAGGTGGAGCCTACAGATTCTGAAATCAACAGCTGGTGGATAGATAATTGCAGAGATCCTGATCTGGTGTCTCTTCATCGCCGTCAAGAAGCCATCTTTGAATTGTTGCAAGGTAGCATTCTAGTAGTGCCTTCTGTTTACATGCTTTATATACTTGCTGGTGTACATTTGATCTTGAAAAATCAAAATGTAATACTTGTCGGTATGTTTAAAGGTGCATCCATTTTATGTGTTTAAAGGGTTAAGTTCATCAGACGTTCCATCAGGTACTGTACTGGGTTTGACTGTGGGGGATCCTCGAGTGAATTTGCCTAAAAAGAGAGCGAAAGCCAAGCCAAATCCTGAAAGATATCAAGGTAAGGTATCTCATCTAATATGTGTCTGTAAAGAGTACATCAATCTACTTTTATGTCAAGTTAAGTTAATGTGTCTTTATTAAGCATTAGCAGAGAGTGCCCAGGGCTGCCTGGGAATTTTTAGAAAGCAAAACCTATTGTGATTTTTAAATGGCTAGTGTTGTGAGTTTGGACCCATCATGCTAACAATTGGGGGGAGTCATGCCAAAGTCACGTTTTAGTCCACCATCTTGGTTCAAAATGGCTGACACCCAAACATTGATAAAGACCACTTCCCCCACCTTGGGAACCTTTGTAGTGAGTTTGTCAGTGGAATCTCAAGAGGTAGCCAAACCTATAGAGAACACACAGGCAAACCATTTCCTAAAACATATAGTATATTCCAGGGAGCGTTGCTCTTATCTCATGGCTTTTTAGGGTTCCATTAAACATACCAAATAGATGCACACATCCTATATTAATGCTATGTAGAGAATAATGGCAGGTGTGAGGAAGGGACTTGGCACCAAACTGGTCTTGTGCTCAATGGAAGCCTCTGTTAAATGGTACAGATGATCCAGGTTCGAATCCTGGCGAGGCCAACAGGTGCTATACCTCAAGATGCAACACTTCATTTCTACAGGCTCGTATTGCCTACAAACCTACACTTCAGAAAAAGTGTGAAAGAGTTCTCCACATATAACAATGGAATGTTTGGCTTGCAGCGCTAATTTAGCCTTAGAAATATTTTTCTGTAATGAGAGTAAGAATCAGAAGTTCCATAATTCAGTCCCACTGTACTTATTTGCCAATTAATTCCACGGCACTGGATTCATTATTTCACTTTTCACCATTTCTTTGCACACAAACAATTATTTTTCAGTAATGGGGCAGGTTTGGGGCAAAAAGAATCCTTCTGAACACACATTTCTTTTACCTGTCTACATTTGGCATCTGCTTCACTTAGGCTTATCTACGCCTCTCCCTTTTAATATGGATTTAACCGCTACAGACAACTTGCCCATCGAACCAAACAGTATATTCTGACTTGAAGCCACTTTCCATTTTGTTATGCAGGGTGTATCTCTTAGTCCTGGTATCCTTCAACCGAAAATGCCAGGGATTAATGCTTGGATTTTTTTCTATTTGCAAAGGATGTGCCATGATCTTGAGTTGTGGCTTCTGCTCCTGGACCAAACTATAAGAAAATCTTAAAACTTTGGTTCTTTTCTTCTGTATTATAAGGTCCTTCTTCACTTGCCAGGGCAACATTGTTTGGCGTTTCCTAATAAAGTGCTTTTCAGACATAAATATGCACTCAGGTAGCCGTGGTTTGATACTTCTGATTGCTTCGGTGTAGATTCACAAATGTATCCAGATTTTATAGCCCTGTGAGAAACTTTGGGTTGGTCAAGGCAGCGAGGGACACGCCAGCCCTTCCAAGCCTGTGCCACTCTGCTGCCTACCATAGCCTTTCACTATATATGTTTGTGAATTTAATAACCCTTTCTGTTTTGAGGCATTCTGCAGGCAGTGCATGCCCATAAGCAGTGCATGCAAGCTAAAGCTGATGGCTGAAGAACAAAGGGTAGCCAGAGAAGATCTTAAATGGATGTATGTGGGGAACCAGCAATGGGAGCCTGGATGGCTGAAGACTCGTGTTTGCAAACAGGCAGAGGGGAAGATGCCACCTAAGAAAGAAATCTTAAGGAAAGCTGGTGCTTCTTTTGGATAGTGCTCCACAGCTCTTCCCCTGCATTAGCTTAGGGTTGTGTCCAACAATGTCCTGCTGAACATGAGAGCCCACAAAAAGTAATGCTGGCCAACAACTTGCATGACCTAAAAAGAGGATTAGAGGATTCATGGAGGAAAAGGCTATCAGTGGCTATTGACCACTCAGATTATGTTCTCTTTCTGCTCTTGGAGGCAATGTGCCTTTGAACCTGGTTGCTGGGAAGCACAGCTGGGGAGAACGCTGTTCTGCTCAGGTCCTGTTTTCAGGTTTCCATAGGCATGTGGTTGTCCACTGGCAACAGGATGCTAGCCCTGATCCAGCAGGGCTTTTATATTGTTACTCAGAGGAGGACCATTGAAATTAGAGGGATGAGTTAGCCATGTCCCTTAATTTCAGTTGGTCTCCTCTTGAGTACGACTGGCATTGGATACAACCCATAGTCATGGAGGAAACATAGATTTGGTTTTCTGTATCTTCCTTACTCTCTATAATTATTTAGTAGTTCATTCCCTTACTTGGCATGCATGCTTTTCACATTCTTAGGGAGGCATTCTATTCATTAAGGTTCTGCAGTCTCCCTTAAAATACATGGTGGAGTAGGATTTCTTCAGGTGTAGTCATTTGAAGATTCATTGCACCGTGTGTTTTGGGTAAAGTGTTCCAAATATCACACATGAAGTTGGGTACTTTAGGCAGGGTATACTGATTTGCTAAGCATGTCGTCACAAAATCTAAAATTTTCTTTTGCTGCAATAGCTAATACAGTGGAACCTTGGTTGCCGAACGCTTCGGAAGCTGAACACTTTGGCTTTCGAACGCCAACAAATGTTTCCATTTACAAATGCGCCTTGGAAGTTGAATGGCTTCCAAGGCACATTTCTCCATTTTATTGAATGGATTTTGCCAACTGGCAATTGCACCTCGATTGTCGAACATTTCAGAAGTCTAACGGTCTTCTGGAATGGATTGCGTTCAACAACCGAGGTTCCACTGTACTAAAAATAAGAAGGGTGACAATGAGCCACAGGCATATCAACCTTTCAATAGAACCATTCTCTTAAACACATGCATCTTTTGGCACCACAATTTCCCCACCCTTCACCCAAAACCTAATGCCAACTATCTGCATGGCATATGAGTGCACACAGTTCCTGAAGATCTGTCGATAGGAGTGAAGGGATGTTTAAATATTCTCTTAGAGAGTGGTGCTTGACTCTGCAGTGAGAAAATAGTGCATCATTCTTGGATCTCAATATGCTCAGGCAGGAAAAGGAGAGCAGTTCCAGAACGTAAAGTTCAAGGGGAACTCCAGAATCACCACCACATCAGCCTTTAAAGCAGGGATGGGGAGCCTGTGGCCCTCCAGATGTTGTGGCTGCTCCCATCAGTCCAAGCTAACTTGGCCACAGGGGTTAGGGATGATGGTAGGCTGGAATCCATCAATATATGGAGGACCACAAGTTCCCCACCCATGCTTTTAAAGCAGTGGTTCTCAACCTGTGGGTCCCCAGATGTTGTTGGACTACAACTCCCATCATCCCTGAGCTCTGGCCTTGCTAGCTAGGGGTGATGGGAGTTGTAGTTCAACAACATCTGGGGACCCACAGGCTGAGAAAGGCTGTTTTAAAGTGAGACCATGTTTTATAAAATGTTGCTCCCTCAGTTTAGACCTCAGTAAAACTAGGACTGTTGCCTATAGCTCCACAAACTCCTAGAAGGCTTTGACTTCTGTTAGAGTAGAACTCAAGGTTCATTTCTCTCTGTGCTGTTAAATGTGTGTTTGCTCTCTGTACAAAATACCCCTTTAAATGAAGTAGCAAGGGTTGCTATGCTCCTAAGACAAAACATTCAGCTAGTTTCTCGTGGAATATGAACTGAAATCATTAAGGTTAGAAGCTTTAATGATCTTTCCACAACTTGCTGTTCTGCATCCCCCTTTGTATGCTCTTAACCTTTTAGTGACAACGGGTCCCTCTTTTTTCCTTTTCTTTAGAGGATGAAAAAGTCAAGCAGCTGATCTTGGAAGGGGTGCCAGCAGAGTGTGCACAGAGCTTTCTTTGGGACCAGAACGTCCGCAAGAACGTCACAGAAAATAAAATGCCAGAACAGGTAACCTTTACATCAGAAATAACAATGAAGCAGTTGGATATAAATGTCAGCCGCTCAGTGCATTTCTGTTAACCACAATTACTTTGAGACTTGAAATGTCTGTCTCAAAATCCTGCCCATTTCTTTCCAGCTGGCGAAGTGTACCAGAGTAGGCTTGGTTTTCTAATCTGAAAATGTTACCTCCTCATTTACTTTGCATCTCTAGTTACATAATTTGCACTTACACAGGGCAATATCCAGCTAAACCATTCTGCTAGTGCAAGGACTTACAGTTGACGAAATGGACCTTCCCCTCCTTCCCCTCTCCCTCTGTGTCTGTTCTGGAGTGTTGGAGCGGGGAGCCCCAACCACAGACTTAGGGGGCACATGGGGAGAGGAGAGGGAGCACAGCCAGAAGTCTTTGTTCTTGCAGAAGTGTTTAGCTGGATACCGCCCACAGACAATCTACTGAGTACATTTTATATCCTGCCTTTCTTCCATCAGGCTCTCAAAGAAGTATATGTGAGTTTCTTAGGCGATCTCCCATCAAGATGCAGACCAGACCTAAACCTGCTTGGTTTCAGCAAGGTGGCTGGATCCTGTGTCCCGAGATCTGTAAACATGGAAATGGCATCATAGCAGACACAGTTTTGTTTGATATAGATGGGTGACATGTCAGTTTCCATCTCTCCTTACAACAGTGATTTATAAAGAGTTACTAAACTACAGAGCCATTGACAGAAAGAAATTCAGATCAGGCCTGTAAGCTGCCATATTCCTCTACTAACACACAGGAAACGTACTGCATTAAAGAAAAAATGTTGTGTTCCTGGAATAGCTTTCAGTGAAGCTTTTACTTATGGCTTATTAAATTGTTTTAAGGTAAAGATAAGTTTAAGTGCTTACAATGCAGAATAAGAATATTTTCTTCTTCTGGTACCTCTTTTTTCTTTTTTAAGCAAACCTTTGTGTGCTTTGTCCCCTCTCATCCCAGGACTTGAATCATCTGAGAAGTAAACTCTTGGTGCCTGGATCACATCTTGACTTAGGTCCCCAAGAATCCAAGATTCCTATTCTCCTGGTTCAGCAGCCTGGAAAAATGGCTGGAGAAGATCGACCAGGATGGGGAAGTGGCTGGGATATTTGCTTGCCCAAAGGTTGGGGCATGGCTTTTTGGCTACCTTTTGTAAGTTATGTTTCAGATTGTAAAACCCTGGGTAATGAACTATAATTGCTGACTAACATACCTTTGCTCTTCAGGATGATCAAAACATTTTTAAAAATGCACGCACTCTGACAGCTCTTGATGAAATTAACTCCAGGTTTTCTACGAAGTATCCCATGGTGGTTTTATGGTTTTATATTGATACCACTTCTGTTCCTCCCATTCTGTCGGAGAAACAGAGCCCCAAAGGCAATGCAAGCTGAGCATCCACACAAGATTCACTTTCCAAAACACCAGCCTTGGGTGTTCAAAAGGAGGATTCATTGCAGGCAGATCTGTTGCCCTGTTTTCATGCAATCCAGAAAAGCAGCGGTAACTTTAGTTTATGGACCTTTCCTCTTGTTCTTGCATTCTCTTAACTTACAATGGTATATTTTTATATTGCACTGCCGTCCCTATGCCTAGATCCTAAGGCTGCAAAATGCAAACCAAAACGTTGCAACTGCTGTGGATTTTTTTAAAAAAGATCCTCTTCATAATGAAAGCAAAAGTAGATTATTTGGAGTGAGCTGGGCAGTTTCTAAGAACCTTGTCAATATTAGCTTTTCTTGCAATTTGAAGCTTCCAAGCCTGTGGAACAGCATCTGCACTGAGAATACAATAGGCGCAAGATATCTGTATCTTCTGAAAAACAATGAAGAAGTTTTTGTTCCAGCAAGCGTTCCCACCTCGATGAAAAGGTCCTTCCTTAGGTGTTCGTTTTGTTTTGTTTCTAAATCTGTCTCCAGTTGCTTGTACTTTTTAACTGGTTTTATGGCCTGTCCCTAAATCGCCTTGAGACTTACGTAAAAGGCAATTCATAACTGATAAATAGATGAAAGTCAACCTTACACATTTGTTTTGTAGCTGTATCGAGGTGCACGTGTTGGGGGATTGCAGGAGGCTCTGAAACATTCTTTGTATAAGAGGACACCGCATATCCCGCACGATTACCCAGACTCTCCTGCTGCCATGCAGTTTGCCAAAACATTGGAGAAAAATCTTCTTGAAAAGTTTAAGAGGTGGGTATCTGAGATACACCTGGGAGCTTCCCCCCTTACCTCAGCCAGTACATGTGGTATATATTCAGATTAAATCTTCAGAAAAATTACCTTTCCGAATGGGAACGTGACATTTTAGGTCACAACTCAGTATGGCAAAAGACATGAAAGCACTTTCCTCCAGCCAATAATTTAGGGAAAGGATTTCTTTTAATCTAGCCAAGGTTAAAAAAAAGAAAATGAATTTATCCTTTTTACCAATGTAATTCTTGGCAATTAGGCAGTATATAAATAAATTAATAATAATATTTTTTTTATTTCCCTCTATGTTTTGTTACTTCTAAATGAGAAGTTTTTTTCTTTATCGTAGGCGTCCTCCTGCGAAAAGAGCCAATTACGTTAAGCATGGGACCTTGGCACCATTCCTCTGTCCTTGGGATAAGCTGAACAGAGATTGGGAGGCCAGAAACAGAGCTTTTGCAAAACATGTACCCACATCAGACCAGGAGTCTTGTGCAGCCGAGGAACAGGCTTGTTGTGGCCCCAGCTCTGGAGCACATGTAGCTGAATCACCTGTGGCTGTCAGTTCAGAACAGCAAATGGAGATGAGCTCCCCAGACATGCAGGTGGAAGAAGAGAGAAAAATGATGGGTCTGTGCAAGAGAGATGAAGCTGCATCAGGTTGGACCTTCTGTGTTCTCAGGTATGCACACCAAATCAATTCCCCCGTTGACCATAGTGGGAAATCAACTTGCGACTCATGTGAATCCATACATAGGGATTTTGAGTGTGCAAGCTGTTGCCTTGGAACAAGAGTTAGATCCTTGAGTACTTCAACTTCTAAGGCTTACCCTGGTCAGATGTGACAAGCTTTAGAAGCTGTTCTGCTTATGAGCTGTCTTACGAACTTGTGAACTGATTATTACCTGTGTATACAAATGTCCTCTGCGCTTTGGAGCTTTTAAAGGCTTGTTTCAAGTGAGTGTGGTCAGTTAGCACCTGATTATTTCAACAGGCTGAAGCCAGAACTGTAGCAATTAGCTCTTAAAGAGGAGTCTCTTGCCCTGCAGATGCCCATGCTTATATTTTCTGAGTGGCGTAGGAGTGCAAGAGCCCTATATTCAAAATCCAACTCTGCTCCAAAACGTACTGGGTGACCTTGGGTCACTATCTCTTAGCCTACTTTGCAGGGTGAAAGTTAAGCTAAAAGGTGGACGGGAGCACATTGTATACCACCCCTGTGCTCCTTGAAGGAAAGGCATGATAAACACGTAATAAATGCAGTATTTAAACTCTGAACAAAGTTGTGCAGTCTCAGTAAGCTCTTCATCATACACACACACACACACACACACACACAGAGAGAGAGAGAGAGAGAGAGAGAGACAAATCGCATCTTTACAGATACTGTACTTTTTCATAGCAAAACATCCTATATACTTACAGTGAGTTCATTCTGCAGGTATGGATCCTTATGTGGTATGGATCCATGTGCCAAAGGGAAGGCAGAAGTATAACAAAAAAACTAAACTACTGTATTTTTCGCTCTATAAGATGCACCAGACCACAAGACGCACCTAGTTTTTGGAGGCGGAAACAAGAAAAAAAATATTCTGAATATCAGAAGCCAGAACAGCGAGAGGGATCGCTGTGCAGTGAAAGCATCTTAGCTGTGCAGCCTGCATTCCCTCCATAAGACGCACACACATTTCCCCTTCCTTTTTAGGAGGGAAAAAGTGAGTCTTATAGAGCAAAAAATACGGTATATAAACAGCCCATTGAGACTTGAGCAACCTCTGACTGCATACAGTTGACTAACTACAGGAAAGCAAGGAAGGGGAAATGGAACATTGTTCCCTGGCAAAGGGTGGGAATTCTGTACGGGAGCATTCCATACTGCAACATTATGTTGCAGGGCCCACTTGTTCTGTACTGAACTGCAGGAAAACATAACTTCTTGTTGTATCTTTTTCAATAGGAGCAGAAAATTATTAAGGCAGGTATCGGTCTGGTGCCAGCCAACACCTGGGAGAAATCGGAGGCTACAGCGCCTTGTCGCCAGGTCAGATCAGAAGGATCTGACTGAAGATGCCCTCCTGCCTATCCTTCAACGTTATCCCAGGTCACTGGTGTGGGTCAGCTTGTCCCTTCTCAAAAAAGGTAGCCCCGAGTTACACGCAATGATTTGCATTCCAACAAAAGGAGATTTATTGCAGCTCAGCAAAGACCAAGACTACTGTGGCCCTCAGGAACCTAAGCACAGCGACAGATTTAAGAGCAAGTTGTTGAAACGAAAGGGAAGGAAGAAGAGGCAAGACGTCGGGAAGGCCACAGAAAGCAGTGCCTTGAATACAACGAAGGCCGCACTGACGGAACATGAAGATCTGGTTCTGGGCTTATGGCCGAACCCTTTGCCAGATCTTGCAGCACACTGTTCCAGAGCGCTCTTGGGATTTGTCACTCAAGGGGACTTCTCCTTGGCCTCTGGCTGTGGTGAAGCTTTAGGGTTTGTTAGTCTGACAGGGTTGCTGCGAATGTTGGTGGGTCAGCCAGTGGACAAGAAAGGGCTTGTGGTGTTAAGAAACCCAGCATCCCTACAATACAGATTTGCTAGGCTTATGGTTGAAGTCTAACTTTGGTTGGAACTCACTGGCATTCAAAAGTACCAAAGACGCTTTTCTCTTGAACATGTACAGGCATCTTAATTTTGAGTCGGAGCTTCCAAAAATATACCTTACCTTTTGTGCATATGTGACATGAAATAGACTTTAAAACTATTCTGTATTGTGTTCAATATCAAATATCTCTTCCATTCCTTAGAGGCACACACACTGAACATCTGTACTTAACAACAAATGCTAATGGCTTTTTTATGTTTAAACCAGGCATGGGGAACCTTTGGCTCTCTGAATGTTGCTTCTCTATAACTCCCATAATTGGTCATGCTTGATGGGGTTGATGGGAGTTGTAGTTCAGCAATACTGGGGGGGGCAATTCCCCACATTGTTGTATACTATCCCCCCCCCCCTTTACATACAGATTTGCCTCAACTAAGGAATTCTGCCCCCATTGTAACATAGTGGTTTGGGCTGCACATTTCAGGCTTACAGTGGTTTTGGGGGTCCATACATTTAGCAAGTAAGATTTTAGGGTATTTAAGATGGTACTTTTTCTGGAACCACGGTATTCCCTCATGTTCAGTTAATACTGGAAGAATTCCCCCCAATCTGCCCCCCTACCCCCGGATGTTGAATTGAAATAATGTTAATAAAGCCATGGAAATTACATGAAGGGTTGGCTCCCTCACCTTAGCTTCAGCTTTTCTGAACAAATTATACTGCGCAAGTGTTCCACTTTGGACAAAAGTCCTTCACTATTCCTGAGAGAAGATGGCTTGACTCGCCCTGTAAGCCACACTGCCTTTTATGATCAAGTAGAAGAATCATGTTACCTTCATCTTAAATATGAATTTACTGCGAGAGGTGATATTCTGTAATCAGTAAGTATACTGAAACACATAGAAGGCAATAAACTTGCTCACAATATAAAAATATTTGTCGTAGTGTTTTGACCTCCTGTAAAGATAGATAAGGTTGGGAGCCCCCTGTTGGAAATCATGGAGAACTGCTTCCAGTTAGTGTGGACAGATCTGACAGTGTATAGCAGCTTCCTATAGTTTTGGTACTGACCATGCTGGTTGGGGCAGATGGAAGTTGTGGCCCCCCCACCTGTATCTGAAGGCTCCCGTCTTAGCCACCCCTGCCTTAAAAAGTAACCTAATAGTGTGTCTTGTTTTGGATGCATACTTAATATTCACCAAACCAGTAAATAATTGTTGCCCCTGTTGCCATATTTTTAGTTTGCTTTGCCATCTGGTGAATGCAAACTTTAAAATACTGCTTTCATTTTTTGAAAAAACAACAACTCATTTACGCCAAAGGGATGTCATTTCAACAAAGAATTCCTGCTTGAGACAACTAAGCAAAAGTCAAATCAGAAATATATTTTTTTTAAAAAAAAGAAAGCATTGTTTCATCTGCTGTGTAACCTGCCTGCTAACCTTTTTTTGTTATAAAATTGTGGTGGGGTCATAATTTATTGACAAAAACATAACAGCAGGGCCAGATGAGTTCAGTTCATCAAAATGAATGCAGTGGTACCTTGGTTCTCGAACTCAGTCTATTCCGGGAGTCTATTTGACTCCCGAAACTGTTCAAAAACCAAGGTGCAGCTTCCAATTGGCTGCAGGAACTTCCTGCACTCAAGTGGAAACTGCATCGGATGTTCGGCTTCCGAAAAACATTCACAAACCAGAACACTTCCAGGTTTGCGGCATTCAGGAGCCAATTTGATCGACAACTAAGCTGTTCGAGAACCAAGGTATCACTATATGAATACAGTGGTACCTTGGGTTACAGACGCTTCAGGTTACAGACGCTCCAGGTTACAGACTCCGCTAACCCAGAAATAGTACCTCGGGTTAAGAACTTTGCTTCAGGATGAGAACAGAAATCACGCAGCGGCAGCAGGAGGCCCCATTAGCTAAAGTGGTACCTCAGGTTAAGAACAGTTTCAGGTTAAGAACGGACCTCCAGAGCGAATTAGGTTCTTAACCTGAGGTACCACTGTATTGAAAGTCAACTGTTCTTCCAAGTGTGGAACTATCCTAAATACTATTGTATATTTTCCAGCCTGGGTTGATTTCAGTCTTCATGTATCCCCTTATTTGCTGATGTCGCTGCTGGAGCAACAGTGTCAAAGAGGACCAGTGTTGAGTAACGGCATCTTTCATATTGGAGTATAAGATAATGTGACTAGTTTAAACTATATGAGCTGCATGATTTTAACTGATATTATCATCATCATTTTCCTCCTCCAAGGAGTTCAGGTTAGCTTACGGTACATGATTCCCTCCCCCCCCCCGCAAGCCTTTGAGATAGGTTGTGCTTGAGAAATGGCGATTGGCTCAAGGTCAACCAATGAGTTTCATAACTGAGTTGGGCTTTGCCTGGGCAAAATAAAGAGGAATAACTTCTGGCAACTCAGCACAGAGACACAGTTTGCACACCACATTAAGTCAAATCATGGTGAGAATTTATTTATCTAATTGTTTAATTCGCAGGTTGCCATTCATCTGACGATCACAGGGCGGTTCATAACACAAAAATACAAAATGAGAACACAAAATACCTAATACAGTCGTACCTCAGGTTAAGTACTTAATTCGTTCCAGAGGTCCGTTCTTAACCTGAAACTGTTCTTAAGCTGAAGCACCACTTTAGCTAATGGGGCCTCCTGCTGCTGCCGCGCCACCAGAGCACAATTTCTGTTCTCATCCTGAAGCAAAGTTCTTAACCCGGGGTACTATTTCTGGATTAGCAGAGTCTAACCTGAAGCGTATGTAACCTGAAGCGTGTGTAACCTGAGGTACCACTGTAATACAAGCTTAACTGCAAGCCGTGGTTGAGATGACGCTCAAGTCTAAACCAAGTCTTGGCTTATTTTAGCATTGTACAGTAACAAAAAGAATTGGGGAGAAACAACGCAGCTGCGAGCATCTGTGAACTCGCACTAAACTAAGGTTTGGCTTAGGTTGACACAATAAACACCATTCAAAAATCCAGTATATAAAATACACAACCTTTCAGCATAATAATAAAAGGAAGGGCTTGATCTAACTGGCTTCCTCCAAAAGAAGTCCCGGGCAGCTAGTATTTCAGGCTTGCTTAACATCAAAAAGCTTTTAACTGTAGAAACTGAAGGTTTTGCTCTGGCATGTTTTCAACGGCTTCAAGGTACTTAAGTTCTCTAAGTGGCTGCTGTGGACAGAGGAGAAACGTGGTTTAATGCTATTTGTCTTGGAGTTAAATAATTCAGATACTGATGTGCTCTGGATGGATTAGTTGCTGGTGGGGTTTCTCAAAGGCTGCATTTGCCATGCTTTGTAGACTCCTTAGTTCCAGCTAGATGTCCTCCTAATTAGCTGCTTTGCAGAAAAGACTCTTTGTTGTGCGCTGGGTCACTGGCGCTTCCATGTAGCTCATTAAGGGACATTTGTCATTCCTGTGCTAAGCCTGACGCAGTGCACCTGCTTGATAGACAGGAAGCAGGTTGCGGCAGCTTAAGGAGCTTACAACTGGTTATTTTGTGGTGGTGTCTGGTTCTTGGGTTTTTCTTATTTGCAGAAGCCACAGCAATAGTCTTGTTTCAAGTAAGAGTGCTGTCAGCATTGAAAATGGCCACAAGATGTCCCCATAGGAAAAACAATGGCTGGTTTTGAATCTAACGCATCGTATAACCATGTGCAAATAATAAAAACCTTTAAATAGGCTGAGCGTGTTTTTCTCAGGTCAGCAATGATGGATTTCAGTCAACCTTTTGAATTGTTTCCCATTCAGAGACAGTTCCAAGGCTCTTTATCATGTTTGTTTTGAACTACCTCTTTTTCATTCTTCCTTTTTAAAGCCAACAATTTTTATTGGCTTACTAGCATGGGCTTTGGTCTCCAGAACACAGTGAGATAAGTCATTAACAATTGCCAGTGGTGAGGCTAATTACACCTTGCTTCTTGATTCCCTAAAGAAGAACGGAAGGATCTCCTGTTGCCCTGTCTAACCCTTAAGCCAGGGATGGGAACCTGTGGCCCCCTGAATGCTGTTGGACTCCATCTCCCATCAGCCCTAGCGGTCAAGGGTGATAGGGAATGATGTCTGGAGGCCCACAGGTTCCCCAGCCTTCCTTAGCACATAGCCTCCTGTATTTGGCTCACAATGGGCAGCACTGCACAATTTAGTGGCTGCCAGATATTGTTGAACTCCAGCTCCCATCAGCCACAGCCAGCATAGCCACTGGTCGGGGATGATGGGAGTTGCAGAGCTGGGACCACGCTTCCTTGGCTTCTTCCTGTCCTGTCTCTCCATATGTAGCATTTGTTCCTTTAGCTGCACTTTTGACTAATTGCAATAAGTAAAGGCTGGAGTGAACATAAGAAGAGCCTGCTGAATCAGGCCAATGGCCCATTTGGTCCATCTTCTCACAGTGGCCAACCAGATGCCTCAGCCTCAAGAGCACTCTCCCCATCTGTGGTTTCCAGCAACTGATTGCTTCTAGCACTTCATTGATTTGGCAATTGAGGAAGTCCTGATGGTCTGTTTTCTACTGTTCTTTGGTTGACAGTCCAGATTTGCTGGTCATTATAACATTGTGAGACATCACCTTGCCAACAAAGGTCCGTATAGTTAAAACTATGGTTTTCCCAGTAGTGATGTGTGGAGTGAAGTGAGAGCTGGACCATAAAGAAGGCTGATCACCGAAGAATTGATGCTTTTGAATTATGGTCATGGAGGAGACTCTTGAGAGTCCCATGGACTGCAAGAAGATCAAACCTACCCATTTAAGTAAATCAGCCCTGAGTGCTCACTGGAAGGACAGATCCTGAAGCTGAGGCTCCAATACTTTGGCCACCTCATGAGAAGAGAAGATTCCCTGGAAAAGACCCTGATGTTGGGAAAGATGGAGGGCACAAGGAGAAGGGGACGACAGAGGACGAGATGGTTGGACTGTTCTCGAAGCTACCAGCATGAGTTTGACTAAACTGCGGGAGGCAGTGGAAGACAGGAGTGCCTGGTGTGCTCTGGGCTATGGGGTCACGAAGAGTCGGACATGACTAAACGACAACAAATAACATTGTTATCTAGATTTAAATGTGGAATAGGAAGCCTAGAATAAAATTACTGTTTCAGTCTTAAATTTTGCAGTGCTTGCATCCTGGTGTATCAAGTGTGTGCATCTAGGTTTCCAGCAAACCATTGTCATTTGAATCCAAGTTAATTTTATACAGTAATCTGGTGTGGATTTTGATAAGTTAATTTACCATATTTTATCACGCACTGTATGTTGCATGACTCCCCCGCCCCATTTCATCTCGGGGAGCTGCTCAACCTGTACTTAGAAACCCAGGGAATACATTTAACCAGTTATTTAGATGCCATAGAGATGGTGCAGGCCTTGGGGTCAAATAGTTTGGTAAGGAGGTAGCATTCTCCCGAATTAACACTTTGGCTCTTGGGGGAAATACAAGCTTCAGTTTTGCAAACTTCACTAATATATCCTGGTTTCTTTTAAATCTACTTACATATTTGATTCCCTTTGCTGGCCAGTTTCCCAGTTATTATTTTGAACATGGGGTGTACGTGCTAACTTGGTGACTTCGAGTTAGGAGTATTGATGAAATCCTTATTTAGGTATTTGACACTGCACAGCCACGTTGACATGAAGCAGGAAGGGCATTTCAGCCTATGAATCTAAAGCCGAGCAAAAAAAAATTATATGGGGGTGGTTTTTGACAAGAAATCGAGTCCACCCTAGAACAATCAGAAGACTGCGCTGAGTTGTCCTCTCCATCTGGTTGCCAGAATAAGCTGAAATGCTATGTGATATATATCCCACTCTGAATATATATCACAAGCATTTCTGCTTACACATTGCTATTTCCCAT